TACAGCCAACTTGATTTTACTATTTAGAGGCAGCGACTGAACTTTAAGTTGAACTTTAAGTTGAATTATTAGGTCTCAAAAAAAAAGAAAGAAAAAAAGATTTCTGCCTGTCAAAAATATCTAAGGGAGACTGAAGTGTGAGAGTTGCAAGCATTTTTCCCTCCAAATGGAGGTTTCAGACAACATGACTTTAAAGTAGCCAGCAGGAAGCACAGCGTCTGAGGTCAGCGCGGGCCCCGAAAGCAGTCTTCCCAAAGTGACATGTAATTGCTTACACTCTTCGCGCTGAGTGTCAAGCACAAAGTGTGCGCCGGTGTGGGGCGGTTTACTGGTTTGGGGGTTTGTGCTGCCATTGTTTGATGTTATGTGAAATGGTGCTCCGAATGTCCATCATTGTGTTCTAGAGAGAGTCGGCCAAGCGATCAGAGGCTGTTGGGGGTGAAAAAACACCCCTGGGACAGATGCCTCGTCCTGTCAGGAGAGACAGTCATGGTCAGATAATAATGAAGAGATCATGAGGGTTATAGATAGGAGTCTTACACAGAAGAGTCTTGAAAGTGTTTAGAGATTCTCGGGGAGCTGCCATTGATTCTGCCCCAGGTTTGCCTTATTGAGGTTGGCAGACTCTGTTTGAGGATGGAATCCTAATGCAGCTCTGCCATTCAATTCGGGATCTCTGGAAGTCATTGTGCCTTGATGTTTGACGGAGTACTCGGCAGTTAAAGATTCATGAGAATGCATTATTCTGTTTCCTGCCTGCCTTTCTAGTACTATTGAATCAGTGAGTATGCATAGACATTTTTTTTTTTTGGGCAAGTGTGAAAATTTATAAATCTGTGTTCTTAATCTTGGATCAGCCAGTGATTGAGGATTAGAGTCACTGATTCATCCAAGGACAGATCCACCCTTTCTTAGCAATAATATAATTAGATCACATCATATCTATATTTCATATCACATATTTGGGGCATGCCAATTACTTGTTGAAAGAGACTAAAAACTTTTTTCTAGACACGTAATATCGGATCCAAATGTCTTTCTTGGCTTGAATCCCAGAGTTTGGCGCTAGACTTGCAAAGAGAAATTCACTTTAACAGCAGTCTTACATTTAAAACCAATAGACTTAGAACTTATCAATTGTTTCTTCTAGACAGCAATGGGAATTAAAAGAAAATGCAGACTCTGTTATCTAAAAACCCCCCAACAACTCAGTAATCCCAAATGTTGCTCCTCTACAGCAGGGTCCCTCAATTCCAACCCTGTCCTGCAGAGTTTAACTCAAACTATGATTGAACTCACCTATCTGCAATTTTCTAGTAGGACCTTGGCAAGCTTATTCTGGTGTGTTTGATAAAGGTTGGAACTAAACTCTGCAAGGCAGTGACCCTCCAGGACCGGATTTGAGGAACGCTACTCTAGAGTTTCAGTAGAGATCTCAATAATGCTTCAAACTTTGCTTAGATTTGTCAAGATACCAAATGCTACAATCAAAAGTCAGAGATCACATTATGAGCTCCAGTGTTTCATTAAATTCTTCCCGAGATAACCATTTTAATTTGAAAGTTTTGCCCCAGCCCTAATCAAACACACTTGAACAAGCTAATCAAGGTATTCAGGCTTACTAGAAAGGTACAGACAAGCAAATTTGATCAAGGTTGGAGCTAAAGTGGACCCCAGTTGAGAACCCCAGCCCGTTCTCATCCCAAGGCGTCATATACTGACGTTTTTGCCAATGCGTAGACATCCTACACACATGGCACACTTTAGTGTCAATATGAGATGCAGATATATATATGGGCCAGAAGGCACCACCTAGTGGTCTAACCCTAACACTACCCCAAACCTAAACCTACCCATACTCTGTGGGTGTTATATTGACGCTAAAGGGTGCCATGTGCGTTGGATGTCTTGAGACGCATGTGCTCCAGAATGCGTTGAGAACCCCTATTCGATACTCTGTGGCAACAGATTACAAGCAATATTATTAAGTCAATTTAACAATAAAATTGAGTAATAATTAATCAAATTAATTCCTTAAAAGTTAACCATTTAAAATGAGTAAAACGAACCAAAGAAAAAAAAAACGTTTAAGTTGCGGTGTTTGTTTTAGGTTTGTTTTAAGATGACGGTTTTCTCCTTCAGTGATTCTGCTTGTTAACATCAGGTGTCTTCAATGTTGGCAATTTAAAATAAAGAGTTCTTAAAGGGATACTCCACTTTTTTTTTTTTTTTTGAAATAGGCTCATTTTACCACTCCCCCAGTGTTAAACAGTTGAGTTATACCGTTTTCGAATCATTTCAGCCGATTTTCTGATATTTAGAAGAATATCAGTAAACAGACACTTTCTGGTCTCATTGACTTCCATAGTGGGACAAAAAAAATACTATGGAAGTCAATGAGACCAAAAACTGTCTGGTTACTGATATTCTTCTAAATATCAGAAAATTGGCTGAAATCATTAGAAAACGGTAAAACCCAACTGTTCCCTTGTTCACTTGTATGTAAATCAATCCAACAACCAAATCGATTACACTCAGCACTCAGTATATGACAGCACAATCACCCAGAAAGCCATGAAAGCACACACATTCTTGCAAAACAAGCCAGAATACCGTTTTAAACAGCAGGAATTAAAAGTTATTTATGACACGAGCGATAGAAATATATCACCCCAGCCACAAAGAGCTTTTCTTTCGCTTATTGTGTTCAGTTATTACATTTCTTGGCCTGGTTCCTGTCTACTATAACTCTGTCATCTCCTGTACTTAGTGATTAAATCTAAGTTTCGCATGTCTGAACATAAATTGGAACGGTAGTCAAGTCTGTGTAGACAAATTATGACGTGATTGACTGTAGCACATATGGTGCCCCTGTGCACACTATCACCCCCTGCTGGATATCAGTAACACTGCACTGCTTTTGTGATACCCGGCTTGACAGTAAAATGTTGTCATTTGCTGCCAACATTGACTGTTTTTGACACAAACTAGAGGCCAATCATAAAGTCAGAAACAGCTGCCGCTGTCTTCATAACATATATTTGCCCCAATATTCTGCCAAATGTGGCTTAACACCCACGAACAGCTGCTCAGTTGGGTTACATGAGAGAATGTGCATTGCTGGAATGCATTATCTCTGATTATTTTTGCTGGCATTTTTTTGCATAAATACTAAGATCTAAAAGTGCAGTCCTATCAAGGGGAGCAGCTAAGTTCATGCACTTTTACTGAGCCTACAAGCTAAAAATAAAAATTCATAAACAACATGATTCTTTTAGCAGATCTTATACGATATGTATGTGGTTGGTTGACTACATTCATAACAACCTTATTTACGTAGGGAAAAGTTAACGGTTCATTCTAGCTAGAAGCTAATACTATTAGCTTGTGGAGATAGCTTTTGTGTTTTATCCACTGCATACAAAGGGAACTGCTGCTTTCAGCTCTGATGCAAGGATTACAGAAGAAACCTTTTTACCTTTGCACCTCAACAGCATTGACTGAAATTCACACATGTATTTGCTCTCAGTCTCTAAAAGGTTGTGAGAACGTAGCCTTGAGACAATGATGTTTTAGAGTGTTATTCATCTTGCCTTGCACACGAAAAAACTGAAAATGTTTGTAAAAGGCGTTTATTTTTGCAGCGTTTTGTTTCTGCCTGCTTTACTTTGTATGGATAACCGGTTGAATAGTTCACCTAAAAATGAAATAGTTGTCACCCTCCATGACTTTATGATACATTTTTGAGTGCAAAATTCACATCTTAAAGGAGTTGTTCACTTTAAAAAAAAAAAAAAACATTTGCTGATGATTTACTCACCCCAATGTCATCCAAGATATACATGTCATTCTTTCTTCAGTCGAAAAGAAATTAAGGTTTTTGATGAAAACATTCCAGGATTTTTCTCCATATAATGGATTTCAATGGGAACCAAAGGTCCAAACAAAGGTTTCAGTGCAAACTGCAAACTGTTCAAAGGGCTTTAAACGATTTCAGATGATGAATAAGGGTCTTATCAGGCGAAAAGATCGCTCATTTAAAAAAATAAAAATAAAGTTTAAGTTTTTGTATTTCATGATGCGTGTTTGTGACTCTCTTATTCGAACTCGTTCATCAAAATGAACGGGTCTTTTCCAGAGTCAACTCATTCATTTTGTTTGTTGAATGAACCAAATGACATGAAAAAAGATTTGTTCATTTTGATTAACGAGTTAGAACAGGAGAGTCACGAACGCGCATCACAGAACAGAGCAAGGCGAACATTTGAGCTTATAAAACTTGAACTTTGTTATTTTTAAAAAAAATATGAGTGATCGTTTCGCTTGATAAGACCCTTATTCATCGTCTGAAATCGTTTAAAGCCCTTTGAACAATTTGCAGTTTGCACTGAAACTGTCTTTTGGACCTTGAACCGTTTGGTTCCCATTGAAGTCCATTATATGGAGAAAAATCCTGGAATGTTTTCATCAAAAACCTTAATTTCTTTTCGACTGAAGAGTTGTTTTTTTTTTTTTTTTTTTTTTTTTAAAGTGAACTACTCCTTTAAACTGCATAGAATCAAGCCATTGCCCATTTTTTCTCTCTTTCAAAATAGACTCGGATATACGCCAAAGTACAGAAGAAAATATCAGTCGCTATACTTTATTTTCATTGTTGTGCTTCTAACACTGCCATCATCTTCTATATGTTCTAACCTCAAGTACCTTGCCTTTTATATGATTGACTTATATGCTGCTCTCATTGTGGAATATGTTGTCAATTTTAGGTCTAATTGTTTAGTAAATTGTGTATTTGAGTAAAAGAAGTAAACAGAGATTTCCACCGTGTGTTTTCTTCATGCTGCAGTGTAAACACCATGATGTTTCCATTCTGTGTTCATCTGGTGCTGTGTCAGCATGAATTCTCTTCTATTTGTAATTGAAATGGTTTATTGCTGATAGGATGAATCAAGCAATGATTGAGATGACTCACAATTCTCTCTCTTTCTGTTCTCCTGCAGAAAAGCCGATGCCACAGGGTCCTCCTGGCGGTATATTTGGCGTCTTGGGAGTGGTGGTGGTTGGTGGTCTGATTGTTGGAGTGGTGGTCACAATATGTATGGTGTACAGGAGAGGAAAAAAGCCCCGTACAGAAACAGACAACGATCTGTAAGTACTTCCCTTACAGGTGGCATTGATTGTGGGCACTTTTTGCAATGGCCAATTTTGTCCCCACCACTTAATAAAATAACTTGCACTGCTGCACGAATCTATACTGTAACACAGGAGAAACATCAAGCTGGAGTTGTATTTGTGGGATTTCAGTGAAATCACAAAGCAACATGCAAACAATTCTGTTTCTGCTGCTGATCTAAAACCACTGACATACAGCTGCAATCCTGGTTTATAAAAATAATAATATAAGCATATAATAATTATAAATACAAATAAAATGTACTTGTACTTTAAATGATTTGGGGGCATTTTTCTATCAATCATATGTTTTTATTTATATTTCAGTTTTGACTTGGAAACAGGGCTAGGCAATATAGCAAAAATGAGTTACATGCACACACACACACATTTGTATTTGCTTTTGAAAAATTTAAAGAGGTGATTTTATTTTTGCCTCCAATGAAAAATATCTTATCAGGATAGAAAAGCTAGTGTTACAAGGAACATTACAATTTTGTTCAAAATCAACAGTAATAAATTTATAGTGACCTCTGACTGCTTTTTACTAAATAAACCCAAAAGGAACATTATTCAATTAAAATTATTATAATTCGAAGGCAGCGAAAATAAAAGTATACAACACAATTTTGAGATATGAACTTGCAATTGAGAGAAAAAAATGGTCAGAATTATGAGATAAATCAAACAGTCACAATTAGCGTTTTTATTTTTTATTCCTTAGCGAAGTTTTATATCTTCAGTAAAAATATTGCGATTGCCCTCCCCTACTTACTAAAATTACTAAATTCCATACACCATGCATTCATTCAATGTAAAGTAGAAAACAATTTAAAAAAAAAAATGATATTTGTGTCTGATTGTGCTAATTGTTTTCTACAAATAAGTAACCTTGTGCTCTTGAAATTGGAATTGGACTCACTGGAGTGTGTCAAAAATATACCATTCACTTTAAAAAGATACTTTTTAATCACCAAAATTGGATTTTTTTTTCTAAGTAAGAAAATTCAAGTTATATTTTCTCAAAACAAGCAAAATAATATTTTGCTTTTAGTTCTAGGCTAGTTAATTTATCTTAGAAGAAAAAAAAAAAAGAATTATTGCCTTATTTTAAGATTTTTTAACTCGGCAAGATTTCATTTTTTGCAGTGAGGCTAAATCTGTGGATCCATACACCACATTTACTATTATACAAAACAGTGAAAATGCATTTTAAATAATTCATGGATAACCTTAATGAACTTTTATTAATGCAGATTGCTTTTGAGTGTTGAAGAAAGACAAGGTTAGAACAATAATGCAAAGCCTTTCATTGTCACTATAAGAAGATTTATACACCGGAAATGTCAGCGACCCAGCTGGGGACGGTTTCACAAAGATAGACTTAGATATAGTAGATAGTCAGACTTCAGGTAGACATCTAAATCAGACTGTTACACAAAGCACTTAAGACTCTGGCTGCGTCCGAAATTGCGTATTATGTGAGTAGGTACTAGAAATAGGAACATACATTGCAACCATTAAAAAAGTATGTTCTATATAGTATGAATACGCACTGTGAAAATATATTGTTGGTTTAACTTAAAAAATGAAGTAACCTGGTTGCCTTAAAATTTTAACTTCATTGAAATGGAAAAATTGAGTTAATACAAAGAAGGAGATTGATTTAATCATCAGAAACTCAAAATATTATGTTATTTGTAACACAGTCTCATCCCAAGTCGTGATGTCTTTTGACCATACGTCAACATCCGCCTTTTTAGGGTACCCTTAAACGTCGGTTAGTTGACGATCCCGGGCCGTCATGCAACTGACGCTTTACCTTTAAAGTCAGTGAGGTGACGGGGTAGGTTTAGGTCTGGGGTAGGGGTTAGGATCTGATAACGTCATCTAACCGACGTTTAAGGGTACCCTAAAAAGGCGGATGTTGACGTATGGTCAAAAGACGTCCCAAGACGTCAGTTATATGACGTCTTGGGATGAGACTGCGCTGTTATTTGAACCACATTAATTATTTAAGTTGATTTGACAAAAGAAAACATGTGATTTCAAATCATGAACATATTTTTTACAGTGTTTGAATAAGTCCTGACGTACTACATGCGCCATGTTGTTGTCGCGTGAAACACTCTGTCACAACAGTGCGAAAATTTAAAGAGCCCATTCCAGTGACTGCGCCAAATTTGCTCTGTTTTGAGTTCTACTTTCTGTTTTCATCTGCGTTTTTATGTCATCCGAGCCGACAAACAAGGCGTCGGTCAGCTGCTCGCAGAATTTCTTAAATATCATTAATTTACTTAATAAATTTTACCTCATAAAACACACACACACAACCCCTATTAACAATGACATGTTGATTTTTGGCAAGGAAAAAGCCATTTATTTGCTTGCCACTGATAAATAAAGATGAATGAATCAATAGAGATACGCATGTGCGCAACGTTACAGCCGCGTCTCCGGTTTCCGCCATTTTCAAATATAACGACAACAACTCCTCTCCCTTGGCATCATGGGATAGTAACGTGTCCATTGTATGCACACTTCAGAATCTCGCCGGAAGTAGTAGGTCATCCGTATAATTTTCGCCTACTGTTTTTTTTTTTCTTTATGATTTCGAACGTACTGCTCGCGTACTGTTTTTCGCATACGTAGAGAATTATTCGATTTCGGACGCAGCTTCTGACTATCTTAAGTAGGACCACACTACAATGCATTCTGGGTAAAATAAGACGCTTTTCAAAAAAAAAAAAAAACATGGCGGATCGAGTATGCGCATTCAACCGCTCAGTACAGCAGAAAATATGTTTGTTGGAGTATAACAGTTACAAGGACATTTTACTTGGGAATTTTAGCGGAGAATGTAGTGACAAGAAGAAATGTTTAATTTGGAAAGGGCCATTTTCCCTTTTCTTTCGGTTGTTTGTAGTCTTAGACCTTAAGTTAGCCTGGGGCAAAGGTGTCTAATTGTTTGGTCTAAATTAAGTCAGTCTTTATTTTTGTGAAACAGTCTAACTTGCATCTATGAGCAAATTTTAGACTTATCTAACACTATAGACCGGTCTAGCTTTGTTAAGACTTATCTCTGAAAGTAGGCCTCAGTATATCATCCTGCCGGGCTACTGGGTACCTTAATGAAAGAAATACGTTTGATACGTTGGGGTCATCACACTTAAAATATTGAAGAAAGAAGCATTTATGAATGCATCTCTCATTTTGCTGTTAGTGGATGCACTTGATTGCTTAAGAGCATGTTACCTATTTGTTAAAGAGGCTTCCTGATTGCTATGTAGACCTGATTTGTCCATTTCTTGGTTTGAGAGACAGGTGTTTCAATCAGGGCTGATTGCAGGAGGCACATCAGATTAGCACCAGAGCCTGTCAAATCCCAAAGCATGACAGATAAACAGAACACTTGACAGTCCGCGGTTTTTAATCGCACACTTCACAAAACTCAAGGCTACGTGGGAACTTGGAAAGGGTGAAATCTTTGGCCTTGATGATCTACAGTGATTACCAGTATGGTTGAGAAGGTTATTGTTATGATAAGTTACGATTCTGGGCTGTGTTTCCCAAAAGAAACTACTGTACAAATCATCTTAGATTAACAGGCTGTTTCCCAAAAGCATCATATAACCGAAGAAGTTCTTTATGTACAATATATCTGGAGTAATTGTAGAGCGCCGAGGAGACAAAAACATATGGGACATCTGCAAAACGACATCTAATAAAACCGTGTTTAGTAATATTTGGTTTTCTTTGAGTCTGTAATTAAATTTTGAATACAATTAATGAGTACTATATAATGAGATAAATATATTTTTAATATTATTTAAAAAAATTGTTTATAAAAATGTATTCTATTTATTTTAGAATAAAAAAATCAAATACAAGATATACCAACTTAACTAGATTTATTTATAAGATAAAAAATACTTTATATTGTATTTTTTTTTAATTAAACATTAAATCTAAACACATTTATTTACAGATTTATGCTACAAAACAATTCTTCAAATCTCAAATACGGATCAAGATAATGTATTTTTTCCAGGACTTGCGGCCAACGATCTTATCGGTAGATTTATCAATTTAGCTTTTGTAGGCAGATTAGCAATATTTTACATACTTACAGTATGTACTATTTCAAATGATATTATTAAAGCAGTCCTGACAGTAGATGGTGAATCAATCCATCAACCAATATGTGCATAACTCTGACTTTTGACCTGATGTGGAACTCCTCTCAATCTGTCCCATTCCCAGCTAAATATTCCCTCTGAGACCCTTCCTAAAATGCTCAATGAGCAGGCCAAAATCATATGCGGCCACTTTTCTTGTAAAAAAAAAAAAAATAACTACAAGAGATGAATGTGTGGACATACACTCACCAAAATGATTAGTAGGAACACCTGTTCAATTTCTCATTAATGCAATTATCTAATCAACCAATCACATGGCAGTTGCTTCAATAGATTTAAGGGTGTGGTCCTGGTCAGACAATCTCCTGAACTCCAAACTGACCACTCATCTCCACTACAAATACAAAAAAGGCTACAATTTGCAAGAGCTCACCTAAATTGGACAGTTGAAGACTGGAAAAATGTTGCCTGGTCTGATGAGTTTCGATTTTAGTTGAGACATTCAGATGGTAGAGTCAGAATTTGGCGTAAACAGAATGAGAACATGGATCCATCATGCCTTGTTACCACTGTGCAGGCTGGTGGTGGTGGTGTAATGGTGTGGGGGATGTTTTCTCTGCACATATTAGGCCCCTTAGTGCCAATTGGGCATCGTTTAAATGCCACAGCCTACATTGTTTCTGACCATGTCCATCCCTTTATGGCCACCATGTACACGGTTTCTTGATCATGACAATGAGTTCACTGTACTATAAGCCCTACAGTCGCCAGATCTCAACCCAATAGAGCATCTTTGGGTGGTGGTAGAACGGGAGCTTCATGTCCTGGATGTGGATC